GGATAACTGAGGAACTATTTCAAGGAAATAGCGGCTCCGGTGTAGAAAACCCCGATTAGCGGCTGTGGGGATCCGTTGTGCTGACCATGTGACACCCTCTATCCTCAAAAGTTGACACTGACTTCGCCGACAAACGGCGGTCGCTCGGTCGGTATAGTTCTCATGCGGACTACAGGCTACGGTGTTTGTTTTTGTTTGTATCGGCAGAGAGACAAGAGAAATACGTGCCCTTAACATATCTAGAGGTCTCGGTTTCGATTCCCGGCGCTACCAGATTTTCTGAGAAGTAGTGGGTCTGGAACGGGGTCCAGTCAGCCTCTTGAGGATAACTGAGGAACTATTTCAAGGAAATAGCGGCTCCGGTCTAGAAATCCCCGATTAGCGGCTGTGGGAATCCGTTGTGCTGACCATGTGACACCCTCTATCCTCAAAAGTTGACACTGACTTCGCCGACAAACGGCGGTCGCTCGGTCGGTATAGTTCTCATGCGGACTACAGGCTACGGTGTTTGTTTTTGTTTGTATCGGCAGAGAGACAAAAGAAATACGTGCCCTTAACTGTTGTTTGCAAACACGCCATTTTGTACCGAAATCATCTCTTACTTTGACGTTCCATAACGTTCTGGGCTGTTCCATAAAAATTGACCTGGAAGAATGGATGATATAAACGGTTTGTAGGACTCATTGGATGGGTGAATAGCCCGGCCTTCCACGGGGCAAGACAAAGACAGAAGAAACAGAAACAGACATCCATGTCTTGAATGGGATTTGAACCCATTATCCCAGTGTTTGAACTAAAGAAGACATTTCATGACTTAGACCGCGCGGCCACTGTGATCGGCATATAGAAATCTAAGGATATTTTTCATGAACGTTTGTGCCTAGTGTTACATACAATTTATTTAAACCAAGCGTTTTTTTTTTTCGGTGGATATGGCCACAGAAACTGGCGCACCGCAGACGCTCTTGAGAAAGACGTCTAAGATAAGAAACAGCGGCAACCGTGCCTGCTTGGACTGAGGACCACTGGTCTCAATCCATGTGAGAATGGCTTATGCAAACTCTACGTAAGGACCATAAGTCTTTTCTTTTTGTTTATATTCTAGGTAATACAAATAAATCAATATTAAACATTCCAAATTTTCACTTACATCAATAAAAATCACGTGATATATTTCTGTAATGCTTATATTCTCACATATCATCAATATTCAGTTTTAAAGTTTTGAACTATAATAGGATGTAAATTCTCGGACTGATGAGAGATGAATGAATGTGTTTGTTTTGAAGCTGTGTGTACCCTGCCTGTGTTAATGATTTCTGGTTAGGACAATTCGCGAGGTGTTTAAGACCTGAAAGGCTACTCATTAGTAACTCTAAACGCCGCCACTAACAAAACAACATCACATCTTTGTAACGTTCCATAAAGAAGCATCAATCATGCTCTTAAAACAATATACGTCTTCATGTCGCTTTTACTGGTCTCACGATTCGTATGCGAATACGATATAATGCTGGATGCAGGTACAATCTGTGGCAACAGACTTCTGCATGCAAAATGCAGTATAACGCGTCAATCGCAAGCGAAGAAAGGGACCAGAAGCTGTCAAAGTTCTGAGGGGATTAATCGTGTTTTGAAAAATCTTCCTGAAGATGATCTTGGTGCTCTTGTACTGGCCTGGATGTAAAAAAAAAAAACTTAAACTCCTTGGTTTTAGCCCGCAAGCGAACTATACCGACCGAACGACCGCCGCTTGTCATCAAAGTTAGTTCCAACTTTGGCGGATAGGGCGTGTCACGTGGTCAGCGCAACGAATCCACACGGCCGTTAATTTCGGTTTTCTAGACAGGAGCCGCTATTTCCTTTGAAATAGCCTCTTCACGAGGCTGAGTGGACCCGTTCCACACCCATTACTTCTCAGAAAATCTGGTAGCGTCGGGAATCGAACCCGAGACCTCTGGATCTGTAGCCAGGAACTCTAACCGCTAGACCACAGAGGCGGTCGAATAAATGTATTGTGCATGAAAATGGTCAACGTTTCTTGTCTAATGTGTTTTATAACTCATCACCACTATCATAATGTGCCTATTAGCGTAATTGCCTAACATTAATGAGTAAATGAAGTGATTCTTAGTCTATTTTTTTTAATTAATTGATGTAGTTTCAAAGAAGTTCTGCTTATGCAGACTTCCAGCACCTCTATGTTTTCAAACTTGAAATCAGAGGATAATTGTACTGATACTTTTCAGCAGAAATGATTCCTATAGCATCTGTTGGCGTATTATCACCATACCAAATTTCGCAACTGTTGGACACTTATTATCTGTTTTTCAAGAAGCCACGGTTTCTCAGCTGTTGATAAAACTAACCAATTTCCGTGCTGAAATTCAGAACAATACTTGGCGAACTGCATTGTTGCGTTCTGTCGGTATTATATTGGTTACCTTCCATTGCCTGATATACCCTACTCGAAGTATCGGGCCTATCCCTGTGGATTAGTGAGAAGTATAATAGGCTAGTACTGAAGTGATCGGAGAAGTTCATGGAGGTAAGGCCTAGGCCCACTGGGGCTGTAGTGCCAAGGAAAACAATTATAGTCTAGTTTCGAAAACGTTTTACTTTCGATTCGTCCTTAGCAAATACTATTAAAATAAGCGTAATTGTTGTTATTGTGACATGACGCCCG